ATTAACAAGTGGCCCTCAAATGGGGCACAGCAGCATGGGGAGGGTATGTTGGTGAGCCAGAGTTACTCTGTCGGTTTACTCTCCATGTCTTTAGTAAGCTGTCTGAGTCCTCCATATGTGGTGAGAAATCTGACAAGAAAGCCTGCATGGCTGTCATGCTGTTATCTATACATACCACATGGAGAAGAATAGGAATCACCTCCCCAGGGCAATGCTGAAGCCAACTCCATGTCACGTGAAAGTGTTGCTGAAGATGACGCACTGCAGATACTACAGCACTCCCTCACACCTATGTTAGTCAGTCATCAGATCTTCCATCAAGAAAATGATTAGGGATTCTCCAGTGTCACAGCCTGGACTGGCATGACTGGTCCTGAGAAAGAACTTATAGAGGAGGTCTGAGTCATTTTTGGTGTCTTTGGAAAGCCAAATGTATTCCATTGATTTGTTGGGTCTAGAGTAGAAGAACATTTGTAGCTTAAGTTTTTGGAGGTGTCTTTTCTTTGCTGGGGTTTTGTTTGCCTGGTGTTTTTAGTTTACTTTAGTTAGAAATTTTGTTATTTTTTTGATAATTCTTTTATTCTTGTCAGTGTTCATTTGCAGCCCTCGAACTAATCCCTGGAAACTCCCAGAAACTGGAGCTAGCTGAAAAAGGAGTCCAACCAAAGCTTGTGATGAAACCCAGATAGGGAAGGTCATAGTGCCGCTGCTGTATCTGTTAGGGATAGCAGGATGCTGAAAACAGCACAGGAACAGCTGGCCATGGTCATATAGGTGAGAACCTGATGGAGGAAAAGTGAGGCAGGCATCCACCTAGTCTTATTCAGGACCTTCCTGCCACCAGGTTGCCTTCTGATTCTTTAGTCTCTAAGCCACTCTAGACCATTCTTTGAGTCCAAAAGCCTTCCGAATTCAGTGGGTTTTTAAGTAGAAAAGGTTAAGTCTGTACTGGGTAAATTGTTGAGCTCTGAAGGGACCGGTTAGCCAGTGTAACCAAGTAATGAATTTCAATTGTTGGACTTTGGTGTTTAGTTTCAAGAATGAGTCAGTGTCCACAAAAGGAAATGGACTTTGGGGGCTAAATTTAGGAATGTAATCTAATGGTTTATCAAGGGAGAGGGAAGTGGAAAGGGCAAAACCTGCCACTGCCATGTTTGCAATTTTTGGACCCCTTAGAGAGCACTTCACAAACATAATTCCACACACAGTTAGGATGTCAGAGAAATGCAGGTAGGGGGCATTGTCTCATAGTAAAAGGAACAAGACTAGAGAGGAGCAGGGATGAAATCCAGGCCTTCCAGACACACAGATGGACCAAGTAGGACCACAAGGACTTTCAGGCTATTCCCAGAGCGAAAAGCAAAAATAAATACTCAAATATAAACACTCAACCCAGAGTACCAAGCATCTCCTAAAAGCCAATGTCTGTCAAGGCCTCTTGAAATGCATGTTGTGATCTTACACCTTACTACCCCTCTGTAGATTGTGATTCAGGCCACAAGCTCTGGTTTTCATTTGGAGGAATCAGAACAGCCTTTGTCCTATCTCACTCATACAGGCTTCAGTTCTGTCTCTCAGATGCACTCAGGACACAGTAGGGCCAATAGAGTCACCAGGGAACAAGGCATAATGAATACCTGTTGTTAAACTCATTGTTGTTATAAAGGGCCAGGAATTCAAGCAGTTCATTCCTCTCATTGGTCATCATCTATAGCTGAAGGGTCAGTTTATCCATCTGGTTCAGCTGTTGCTCCTGCTCAGTGAGGAAGAAGGGTGTGGATGATGCCTTCCTAGTAGTCCCTGTAGGTACATAAACACAAGTAAATTTGTCCAGATGAATGGCATAGGGCCAAGAGAGATCATGTGGAGTCCCAAGAGGAGTCCTGAGGAAGAGGAAATTCATGGAACCCAGTGAAGCCCCAAAATTCAGAGCAGCTATCTTTAAACTGGAGACTATAAGCCATGTGTCTGTCTCCAATCTCTGAGGATAGATATATGCCTCAGACCCTACCTCAGCCCCACTGTCCCTGAAAGGCATAAGCAAGGCCAATCATGTTGGTTTGGAATTGTCAGCCAATACCTGATGTGATGCAAGAAAGTCCTGGACTGCCTCATTGACCATTCCTGGCCCTCTGCCAACTACCCATCAGAAACCTCCACTTTGGATCTGCTCTTTAGGAACCCAGATAAGCAGCATAGGCCCATGGCTTCAGATGATTACAGCTACTGAACCCCATTACTAGAAGGTCTAGTTCTGGCCTCAACTCCTTCCTAAAAAACCAAAATCTCTCTTCCAGTCAGTATGCTCAGTCTTGCCAACATGTTGATTGGTGAACCCTATACGCACTTAATGAATGCCTCAAAGGCAGTTGGCATTGCCACAACACTGGTGATTTCACAAAAGAGGCCAAGGGCTCTCCAGGATACAACAGAATTTCCAGAGAAGGGACTGTTAGGGTCACTGCCAACACCCTCCACCTATCTGATAACAAACTCTTCCCCAATTCACCAAAAGCCAAGCTGCCCTTTCCAGGAGCCTTCCCTGAGACACAGGGGAAGGCCTTCAGCACCTGCTCCTTCCAATCCAGAGATCTCTCTGATTCATTAGAATCTAGTTCATTCTAATTCAATAGTTCATCATGTATGGAGGGTAAGGCTCATTTTCCAAACTGTGCCCAGGAATGGCTCTTCTCATCCTGATGATCGCTAACTAACAAGATGAGAAATAAAGGATGCTAAGAAATTAGCTCAGTATAATGGGGAAGGAAGATCATTTCCACGAGGTGAATAAGCACATCAGAGAAGATCCATGGGGTAGTTACAATGTATGAGGATACTGGAGGATTATGTGGGTCCTGTCAAAATAACTATAAGTAATATAGGTAAAGATGAAACTTTTTCCAAAAGCTTCAAGAGAATACATTCCATCCATCATGATGTTAGCAAAGTTGTTATCAACCATTGAAAGTGTGACTGAAAATACCTATGAACTGGGCATCCACAGGTGAGCCCTCTGACACCAAGAACAAATACTTACAGGAAGAGTGATGTCCCAGTTTGCACTCAAGGTAGAGGGAAGATGACTGGCTAGTGAGAGGCAGAAACTCAGAAACCTTAGAAATCACTGACATGCAGCAATACTTCGTGGCTCCTGCCCTGCTAGTGGGTTGTTATTTAAGTGTGAGAACCTCTAGCTCTGGCCAGGTAACTTTACTCTTCTTGTTATTAGTGACACACACCAAAAGTGTGGGTGAAGTGCATGGTTGGTACTGAAACCTCTTTAGTCCCTCTGTGCTTCCTTCCCACTCAGAGTGAAAGCAGAGGGCCCTCAACAGAACAACTGCAGCCTTGATCATCCCTGGCTCTCTGCCAAACTAACCTTGAAAAATCCACAACTTTGTTCTGCTCTTGAAGAACTCAGAAGACTAGGATAGGCCCATGGCTTCTCAGAAACTCTCATCCCCTTAGCCCCACTCCTAGAAGCATCAGCTGAAGCCTTCCTCCTTCAGGAAACTCCTCATCCCTTTCCCAGGACTCACTGCGCTTTCCCCAGAACCATTTATTTCTTGATGTGTGACATGGAGACTGAAGGGCATCTTCCTTCTGCCTCCCTTTGGTCTCCCTGTGCTCGCCATCCTGTCTTCCAAGAATCCTGTTCAGTCTAGTCAGCATGTCTGTAGGTGAAACACGAGATACTGCACAAATGCCCCAATGACAGTTGGCGTTGCCACAACACTGGTGACATCACATGGAATGCCAGGGCTCTCCAGGATACAGTAGAATGTTCATGTGCTGATGTCACATGGTATAGCTGTTACATCCCTGTCTCATACCTCACCCAAAAGTGACTTGAAACCAAGGTGCCATTTGCAGGCACCTCTGGGTTCACAATGGAAGCCTTTAGGTAGATCCTCCTTCCAAAGCCAGAAATCTAGGCCTCTGCTTCATTAGAAACTTTATCTAAGTGAAGTTGAAAGCTCATTTTGCATGCTCTGTCCAGGGTTGGATTTTCCCTCCTCAAGATTAATAATCAATAATTTGAGAAAGAAAGGATGCTTAGAAATGAGATCAGGATAATGGGGAGTAGAAGGGATGAGAACTCTGAAGTGAACATTCACCGAGGGAACATCCTCAGAATTTTAAAGATTGGTGGGCTCAAAAAGTCACATGGTTATGAAGATTCCCCCAGTGTCAGTAGAGCTCACTCAAGCTATGAGGTTGTTAGTGGGAAGGTATCTTAGTGTCATTTGATTTGCATTTCCCTGATGGCTAAGGATTTTGAGCAATTCCTTAAATGTCTTTTGGCCATTTAATATTCTTCTGTTGTGAATTCTCTGTTTAGATATGTACCCCATTTTTTAAAGTTGGATTCTTTTGTTTTTTGATGTCTAGTTTCTTGAATTCTTTATATATTTTGGAGATCAGCCCTCTGTCAGATGTGGGTTTGGTGAAGGTCTTTTCCTATTCTGTAGGCTGTCATTTTGTCTTGTTGACCCTTTCCTTTGCCTTACAGGAGCTTCTCAGTTGCAGGAGGTCCCATTTATTAGGTGTTGCTCTCAGTGTCTCTGCTACTTCTCTTCTATCAGGTTCAGTGTAACTGGATTTATGTTGAGGTCTTTGATCCATTTGGACTTGAGTTTTGTGTATGGTCATAGATAATGGATCAGTTTGCATTCTTGCATGTGTCAACATACAGTTATGCCAGTACGCCAGCACCATTTGTTGAAGATGCTTTCTTTTTTTCATTTTATAATTTTAGCTTCTTTGTCAAAAATCAGGTATTCGTATGTCTTTGGATTAATGTCAGGGTCTTTGATTCAATTCCATTGATCTATGTGTCAATTTTTATGCCAATACCAAGTTATTTTTATAATATAGCTCTATGGTAGACCATGAGGTCAGGGATGATGATGCCAGGCATGCCTTCATTGTACATTGTATAGGATTGTTTTGGCTATCCTGGGTTTTGGTTTTTCATACGAACGAAAATTGTTCTTTTTAGGTCTGTGAAGACTTTTGTTGGGTTTTGATGGGTATTAAATTGAATCTGAAGATTGCCTTTGGTAAGATCTCCATTTTTACTATGTTGATTCTACCTATCCAAGACCATATGAGAGCTTTCCATTTTCTGATATCTTCTTCAATTTCTTTTTTAAAAACTTAAAGTTCTTATCACACAGGTTGCCCCAATGTATTTTATGTTGTCTGTGGCTATTGTAAAGATGGATGTTTCTCTGATTTCATTCTCAGCCCATTCATCATTTGTATATTTTAGGTCTACTGGTTTTTTTTTTAGTTTGTTTATCTTGTATCCTGCCACATTACTGAAGGTGTTTATCAGCTAAAGGAGCTCCCTGGTACAGTTTTTGGGGTCACTTATGTATATTATCATATCATCTGAAAATAGTGAATGTTTGACTTATTCCTTTCCAATTTGTACCACCTTGATCTCCTTTTGTTATCTTATTGCTCTAGCTAGAACTTCAAGTACAATGTTGATAGATTTGGAGAGAGTGAGAAGCCTTGTGTTATTCCTGATTTTAGTAGAATCCCTTTGAGTTTTTCTTCATTTAGTTTGATGTTGGATGTAGGCTTGCTGTATGTTGCCTTTATTTATATTTTTGTATACAATATGCATATCTATTTTTTAATTTTATTTTATAATTTTATTTAATTTTATATATCAGCCACCGCTTCCCTTGTTCTCCCCTTTCCTGCCCCCCAGCCTTTCCCCCAGCCTACCCCCCAGTCCCATCTCCTCCATGGCAAAGACTCCCCTGAGGATTGTGTTCAACTTGGTAGATTCAGTCCAGGCAGGTCCAGTCCCCTCCTCCCAGGCTGAGCCACGTATCCCTGTATAAGCCCCAGGTTCCAAACAGCCAGCACTGCACTGAGGACAGGTCCAGGTCCCATTGTCTGGATACCTCCCAAACAGATCAAGCTAATCAACTGTCTCACTTCTCCAGAGGGCCTGATCCAGTTGGGGGCTTCTCAGCCATTGCTTCATAGTTTATGTGTTGCCATTCATTTGGCTATTTGTCCCTGTGCTTTTTCGAATCTTGGCCTCAACAATTCTTGCTCATACAAACCCTCCTCTATCTCGCCAACAGGACTCCTGGAGCTCCACCTGGGGCCTGGACATGGATCTCTGCATCTGATTTCCTCAGTCATTGGATGAGGTTTCTAGCACGACAATTAGGGTGTTTGGCCATCCTATCACCAGAGTAGGTCATTTCAGGCTGTCTCTCGACCATTGCCAGTAGTCTATTGTGGAGCTATCCTTGTGGATTTCTGTGGACCTCTCTAGTACCCTGCTTCTTCCTATTCTCATGTGATCTCCATTTACCATGGTCTCTTATTCCTTGTTCTCTCTCTCTCTGTTCTTGATCCAGGTGGGATCTCCTGTTCCCCCAATCATGATATTAAAAGATATTAAAAGATAGAATTGTGTATGTCAAGTTCGCATGGGGTGAAGTTGTGATAGCTATTTTTCGTTGTCAAATTTATTACATCTGGAATTAACTAAGACCCAAAAATGGAGGGGCACACCTGTGAGATATTAATTTGCTTAATTTGAAGAGAAAAGATCCACATGGAAGCCAGCTCTTTGCAGTTGGAAGACATTCTTTTAACTGGATGTTGATGAGGAAAGAAAGAAACACCTTTAACTCAGATGTTTTTGGCCCCCAAGCCTGACCTGTAATCTGAGCCAGGCCTTGTGCTGGAAGCCCATATACAGAAATGGAAGAAGGGAGCTTTTGCTCTTTAGCTGCTTGCTCTCACCTTGCTAGCAAGTTCATTCCTTCCCTGGCATTGGAGCCAACTTCTTTGGGATTCGAGACTATACTACTGATGGGCTGAGACAATAGGTGTAGTGGACTGGATTCTTGGACTTCGCCATCAAGCTAGCTGAACCATAGCCTCTAAGTCATTCTAAAAAATAGCCTTCTGTATATATAGAAATGCATTCTATAAGTTGTTACCCAATAGAACCCTGAGCAATGCACCAGACAGGGATAAAACTTTTAGAGTACTTTGGGCCTCACAACAGCGTTATCTCAGTTATGAATTACACAGAATCACTGGGAAAGAAAGTAAAATAACACAAGTCTGAAATTTCTCAAATGGAACACACAGTAATCTAATTAAATGAGTAATTATGTGAGATGGAGAGAGTCTAGCTTAAGTAAGAAATGAAAAAAAAGATGTCTTAGCTTCTGTGGTACAAGACCTGGCACCAGCTCCATCCCACATGAAGATCAGAGGAGAGTAGCTTCTTTTTTACCCTTGTTGTGACAGCTCTAGTCCGGAGAGCCAGGGGATAAATTTCTTTACACATCAAATCTCTGCCTCACTGTCAGTCTCAGGAGTCAGATCTATCCCAGAGGAGCTTCACAAGAGTAAATCAGTCATTTGGAGGAACTTTCTCAATATAATCTGAGATCTGCTGTGATAAAAGAGAAACGTCAGCCACCTCTCACCTTTTTAGTCTTGCACAGATTCACTCTGTACCAGAGACATGTGGCCCCTGATGCTGTCTCTATCCACTCCACCTAGTCATGAGGTTCCTCCCATCATTGCTCATCAGGACCGTCATGAGGGATTCCTCATCCTACCTACACCACCAGGAGGGTCTATTCTATTTTGCATTTTATTAGACAGGCTTAATAGGTGTTGTCAACCTAGAAGAGATCTAGCAAATCTGTTCCAATCTGACAGTCAGTGAGACTGGGGCAGGATCCTGAACCTATGAGAGCCCTGAATGGATGTGTGGCAGCCTAAGACAATTAGCATACCTGTCTCTACAGGTTCCAAGAAACTTCAGGCTTTGGTTGGGAATGAACCAATTGAACTAAAACAGCACACATGGCTGGGAGGACAGAGGTCAATTGCAGGGACTGTGGAGATGGCTCGTCCATTAAGAGCATTTATTGCTATCTCAGAAGACCCACAGGACACCTAACAAACCTTTTTAACTTAAATTCCAGGTGGACTCTGCCCTCACCTGGCCCCTGTGGGAATTACATGTACATGGTGGCAAAACACCTTAAGTATAAAGAAAAGCACCACAAAATATCCCAACATACATTGAAGGAATTATCTCTGCTGTTCGGATATCACTCATGTTATATTTCAAGAAAACCAGAGGCAGAATGCTTTTCATTTCTTTATTTCTTTTATACAATTTTAATGAATATTCTTATTTCCAAAAATGCCTGAATCAATATACTTGTGTTTCCCTTTAATTTGGTGTACATTATGATTTCATGAATATGTGTGTACAGTGTACCACATTTTACTGGTAGCTAAATATATGACCTCAAGCATACAATACATCTAGTTTTTCTCTATTATGTAGTGGGTATACATGGAGTAGGCTATGCCATCCACATCCAGCTGCAATCCCCCTGTGTATCCCTGAGGCCCATGAATGGAAAATCCTTGTGCAGCCTGAGCTTCCTGGAACTTACTGAGATACATCCAAGGCTGTGAGTTCTGGGTTTACAGGAGTGTGAAACCTCATCTGACTAAAGAAGAGTCTTGGAGTGAACAGTTTGAAATTTATTTGATTCATAAAATACATTCATTTTACTCAATGGGGGCTTTCAAAACAGCATCATTATATACAGTGTATAGCCTTAGCAAACTATTAAAACAATGACAAGATAAAAGTAATAACAAAAATTAACACAACCTTAAATGAAAATGAAGAAAACCAAAAACCAAAGCATAAATATCCCAAGATATAAAACAAAAAAAAATTGAGGAAATTGCAACTTTCTTTGGAATTTCATTATGGAAGAGCAAAAGTGGTGAGGAACTGGCTTATTCTCTGTAGAGAATTATCTTCAGCAACACTTGCCCATGACATGGCGTCAGCATCAGCACTGCATTAGAGAGGATCTTATGCTTTTGGTGTGGTCTGTCTGGATGGCAATGTGACATTAACACAGTCTTTCTTGTCAGATTTCCCATCACATATGGACTCAGGGTTTTTAGTAATTTATTTTGTGTTCTCTGTATCTTAGACTTATTTCTGACACAAACTGTTCTCTGGGGATAGTGAGCCAACAGATGTGGCTGGATCCCCTGATGGTAGGTTGATATTTGCATCACTAGTGAGTTCAAAGCTGAAAAGAGGTGGCATTTTCTGAGGAGGCCTTAAACCTGGAGTGTAGAATGTCATGCCTTCAAGGTGTCCTGGCTGCTTCTAGCCTTCTCAGTCTTCTTAACAGGTGCTGTTATGTAAAATCATTAAAAAATATCATTCAGAAACAGTTTTGCTGTGCCACTGGCAAGAAAATTAGGGCCTATTCATCCCTAGTAAACAAAAGTTAAGGAAGGAAACACACCCCATGAATACCCTGCTGTTGGAGATGGGGCTCAATGGTGGCTTACTTGCCTGGGACATAGTGTTTCTGCTTCAGCAGCTCCATGTGCAGGAGGCTCTCATCCTGGACCGTAGTCTGCTCCGTTCCTGCTGGAGGTTTTCAAACCTAAGGGAAGAAGGCAGCAAGACCAGAAGCCCATGGGGGCGGGGGGGACCTGCCATGTCAGCTTTTGAACCCTAACTAGATCTACTAAGCTAGACAATCAAGCAGTACCTTTCAGCTGAGTTAATTCCCTGCTTCCCCAAGGGAAAAGTGTCAGAGAGGTCCTGGGCCATATTTTTTTCTCAAATTTTAAAAACTGCCAGAAGTTGAACTGGAAAATACACACTGTGCTGGATTAGAAAAAACAGGATATTTCTCCAACAGTCCAAAGACATCATTTTGGAGAAATATCAGTATGACAAGTTCTGAGGCACAGGTCAGGAGAGATGCAGCTGGCCTTGATTACATAGATACCAGGTGAATGTGAACTTCCTGGAAAACTCTATGCCTGCCCTCTAGTGGAGCCTATACAGCAATGCAGAATAGGCTTTGATTATTCCTAAAGCTCAGACCCCTGCATGGGATAAACTTGTCAACTCCTACTCTGTTTAGGACCAGAGTAAATCTTCTCATGAGAAACTGATAAACACTGCAGAGAGCCTGCAATCAGCAGTAGGCTGTTGTGTGCTATCTGCCAAAGGGTAGAAACTTATCTCTGAAGTGATGTTCCTGGTGAAAAATAAAGTTGCATGAGGATGCACTTCCCTTCATGACTGATGATCCCCTCTAGGTTTCTGGCTACCATGGAAATATTTGTGAAGAGATCTAACTTAAGAGATGAGATACTCAGAGCATACTAGAGGTCTCAAAATGGAAGAAGGGAACACAATCGTCATAAGACAAAGGAGAAAGCATATTGTTTCCTGGACATAAGTTCCTGTTGACTGAGTCAGCAATGACACTCTGAGGTGTTCTTTCCCTGGCTGTGGCTGGAAGCTTTGCCACTCGAACAGAAACTCAAAGAGGACAGAGATCCAGGTACAGTGGACCCACTTGGATCCACCTGCTTCTGAAAGCCTAGGCACCTACCTCATCTGGTACACAGTGAAGTGATGCTGCAGCTTTACTGCCAAGTCCCTTTGCCAGGTGAGCAGCTCCTTCTGCTTCAGCAGGGACTGAAGATTTTCCTCAAATCTCTTTGATGTTCCTGCTCATTAGAAGATTGTGTTTTTAGGAGAGGGTTCCCTGCACCCATGAACATACAGATGCATGAAGACACACACACACACACACACACACACACACACACACACACACACACACACACGAGAACACATATATGTACATGGATGCATACATACAAGCACACTACATTGCATCCGTTTTAGTTTTCTAGATAACACTGATGTAATAGGAGATCACCTGGGATACTATGGAGAAGAAAGTGCCCTTTCATTAACCCACAGACTCTCTACTCATATTCCAGCCCAGAGGCAGGAAAACACAGGAAACTCTGAGCACAGGGATGTGAAGAAGATTGTGCACTTTTATACTGTTTTGATAATTTTTATTTTATTTTTAATTTATATGTGCAGGTGTTTTTCCTGTCTGTGTGTCAGATTAGCACATGGGAGAAAAACTCAGTGGACAGATAAGTCAATGTAGTGCTTGCCTTATAAACCTGTACACTGACAGGTGAACCCCAGGGTTCCTTGACCAGTAATCTAAGCTCTCCTAGCAAGTTCCCAAGTCTGTACATTGAAGGCTTAGTTCCCCAGCAAAGGACCACTGGATGGCAGTGGACCAGCCCCTTGCTCTCACTCAATGCTTCTCAGTGTCTCCAAGGGTGGCAGCTTCCTCCTAAAAAAGCTCTCTAAACCACAGGTTGCCTCAATTTAGGCCCAAAGGAATGAGCTCAGAAAACAAAACAAAACAAAAATCTCTAAAGTCAGGAGTCTATATTAACCTTTCCTCCAAGTAATATGATTATGTCAGGAATTTCTTTGAGTAACAGAAGGTTGAGTAACTCACATCCAAATGATTGCATGTATTATTCCATGCTTCACAATATTCCATGGACCACATTGTATGTTTTCCCTAATCAGGGACGGGCATCTGAATAGTTTCTAGCTGGAGGTGTTCTGATGAGTCCTGCTGTGACCCTGTTGTCCCCTATTCTCTGCGGACACCTACTTTACATTCTGGAATCAATGGACCACTGGAGTCTGCATTCAACATTCTGAATAATTATATATACCTTCACACAGGGCTGCACCATCTTACACTACTAGCAATGTCTGAGAGTTCTCATTTCTCTCAACCCTCCATCAGGCTGATTTTAACTCAGTATGAAGAAGTTTGGAATAAAAGCAGGTTCTGAGTGCTGCAGACACAACATGGAGTGGGTGCTTTAGAGTATGAGGAGCGTAAGGGGTGCACTGAGACAGCCTCTCCTCACACCTCAGCATAGCTGTGGGACTTCTGCTGGGCTGAGATGCAGCCACAAGCACCAATGCAGTGCAGAATTTCTTAGAGAATAAAATCCAGGCCAAGCTCCATGGTTAAGATTATCTGAACCAAGGTTAGGCAAAGGTGAAAGGAAAATGGCGGCAGGCGATGAGGAGAAGAACAAAACAGGATGCAGGGAAGTCATCAGTGGTCAGCCACCATTCACCCAGAGCAGAGAAGGACACAAACCCTCAGGCACCTCTCCTGCCTCTCAGTAACCTCTTTCTCACCTTCATGTACCCCATTACTTTGTTTTCTCCAGAGATTTCTTTGCAGATAAATAATTCTGCCTCTACAAATACCTGAAAAAATTTTTAGCTTGCATCAATTTTGTGGCCTTTTGTTGTTGCTAACTGTGTGGACATGCAGAAATATGGGCAGCTCCATCTGTTCTTTGACTGATGAAAAGTGGTACTAACCAGGTTAGGCACAGTACTTTCTCATTGAAGTCTCTCTCCATCATTGTTAAAGATGTTCCATTGTTCCATGAGTGAGTGAACATACACATAGAGGCTCAAACACATATTCTCATACCCCATAGAAACACATAAGACAACACATAGGCGCGCACACGCACACACACACACACACACACACACACACACACACACACACACACACACACATACACACCCAACTTTCTTGAACCCAGAAGGGCAAGGGAGAATACTGGAATCTTATAACACCTTTTGTACTACAGGGAGAGGTAGTGTGTCCTCCCTGTTGTCTACCAGCCTCTTAGACTCAGCCAGGCTTTTCTGCCCTGGCCTGAACTTGTTTCCCCTCCTAGGGAAGTTTTTATCGCCAGACTCACTGATTGTACAAATAAATAACAACCTCTGCACAACTGAGTTTGACCACACAAGACCAAGTGCCCATGGAAGATGGCTGGACAGGAAGCCTCCCGATAGATCCAAGTTGACCCATCATAGACTCCTCCCTAAACATACCCAGACTCCTCCACTGAAGGCAGTGATAGACCAGAGAATGGAAGTCACCCATTGTCATTACCCAACAACTTTTGACCAGATTATAGTGCATGTTATACTAAAACAGCCCAGGTCAGACAGTAGGAGGCTACCTAAGTCACCCACAGCACTTTCCTGAACTACAGCACTCTATAAAACTATGAGAAGGAATCTTTCCTAAGAACACAGCCATATACATGTTAGAGTGAGCATCAAAATGTCAGGTTCCATGTGTGAAGCTAGTAAGACAAACCAGACATTTCCTGGGAAGTTACTTCTATGCCGTGAAAGAAGAGAAGTCTACTTATTAATTTTAAAATAGATCCATTGTTTGGCTTTTGTAGGGGACGTTCCTCCTTCCATACTGTTTCTGCCTCTGATCTCATATGACCTATGCAAAGCAAGTGAGACCCAGACCCTTGACCTCACTCACTCAGATCTCTGTGCTACTCCCTATGTGGCTCACATCATAGCACTGCTCTTTCCATACTAGCATATCAGTGAGTGACATGTGATTTACCCGTCTCCCTCGGTGGACTGCAGCTTCTAGCAGAGCAGTAGGGTTTCCTTGGCAGTCATGCAATGCCTTCCAAGAGGCTAACTCCCCAGAAAAACTTGTGAATGATCACAGAAATGAACAATTAGATGAGATGGGTCAGGTGGATAAGTGAGTAGATGGTTCCATGGGTGTGTGTATATGTATGTGTATGGTTAGACAGGTGGGCAACTTGGCCCTGCTGCTTCAACCTACCTGCTGCTGCTTTGTCCAGAGGTCATAGGTCTTCCATTAGGCCTCCTCACAGAGCCTCCTCACCTCGTCACAGGATTCTTGTAGTAAAATATGCTCCCCCTGTAGCTTTCTGTTGTTCTTTTTCAACATGCTCACTTTTTCCTTTAGCTGAGTCCATTCCCTCAGGAGCTGACTGTAGAGGGTGCTGAAATATCACCAAAGATGATGAGTTCCACCTGCTTCTGCACTCCTGGCTCTAATACCATCCTTCCTGCCTGGCCCCACATCCCCATCCCCATGACCCTGGGCAGGAACCCACATTAGCAATGCCAGCATCACTCAGGTGCAGGCCAAAGCCAGAGAATAGCCAAATTCCAGATAGATTCAAACTGCTTCTGAATACCCTGACAGCAAAAGGGATCCATGTACCTATGAAAACTGGATCCTCCACCTCCCCCCCACACACACTCTGGTGTTTAACTGTTCACAGTATTGGGGAAACATGAGCAGGTAGAGTCAAACCATGCTCTAAGGCGGACAGAGGACCCAATGGGAATACATTCCATCCACGCTTCCCATAGAAACCAACTCTGTAAGCTCCTGCCAGAGCCACAGAAAACATTCATGGTGAAAACCATGTTTTCTCTCTAGAAGCTCCAGACTTTGACAGGAAAATGTTGAGAGGGGCTCTAAGACTTTTCACTCTTAGGAGAACTCAGTTTAGGAGGCACAAGTCCATGAGCTATGAGGCAGGCTGCTTGCTAAGAGGTCAGACTAGAACCACAGCCCAACTTTGTTCAAAGGTGAAGAAGGGGAGAAGCTGCTGTGGGATGTCTTCTGTATGCTGTGAATATGTCTTTATCCCATTGGTTAATAAATAAGCTGCTTTGGCCTATGGCAAGGCAGGATGGAACCAGGCAGAAAAATCCAGGAGAGACAGAGAAGGAAGTCAGAGGTGGAGGAGATACCAGCTGCCACCCAAGGAGAAACATGCCAGCAGCCTGGCCATGCAGCAGCCATGTGGCAAACACAGATTAAAAGAAAGGGGTTAATTTAAGATGATAGAGCTAACTAGCAAGAAACTTAAGCCATTGGCCATACAGTTTGTAAGTAATATAAACCTCTGTGTGTTTATTTGGGACTATTTGACTTCAGGAGGTGAGTGGGACAGATTCCTCCTGACAGCTGGGTCAGGCAGGACTGCAGAAACTTCAGACTGACAGAAGGGGTCCCTACCAATTTTTGGAGTCCCATCTAAGTTAGACACTCACTGGTAGGATTTGGTCTGCTCACTCAGCTCCTTGCACTTGTACGATGCCTCAGTAATCTCCTTGGGGAATTTCTTCACATCTGACATCTCCTTCTCATGCTGTGTTTTCAGCATCTCAAGCTCAGATATCAGCCTGTGGTAGGGCGTGGCCCCAGGAGCAAAGAACCCCATGAACACGGGTGTCAGGGACCACATGAATTAAGGTTCTGTTTTATACTACCCTAGCCCACTAGATTTCACACCCTCAATTCTATGTACTGGACCTCCTGGTGTGCATTAGACTTGCCTCACTGTCCCAGGGTCAGGAAAGCTGGGTGTCAATAGGAAAGGAGACAGGACTACATGAGCTCCCTCAGTAGGCCTGGAGGGGTAGACTAGCCAGCTAAGAGGGTCTGAGGAGTCTGTGGCACAGAACGGGGTCTATCTGAAATCTGCAATGATATTTTCACTGTCTTGAGAACAGAGATTCTTTCTCCTTACAAGGATATCCAGAACTCATAATCAGTACTGCCATGAAGGAGGCACTACATGAGGATGGCTTTATAAACTCCCAAGGAGATTCCAATGAGGCACCAGGGTGAGGACAAAGCTGAGAGCAGTGATGCTCAATGTGGGGCTCCCTGGCCTCAGCACGTACATCACCAGAAATCTTTGAAACATGTGAATATTCAGGCCTACTATCAATCTCTGACTCACAGGATCAGGAAGGACACACACACACACACACACACACACACACACACACACACACACACACACTGTAAGTAAGCCTCTCAGAGACAGTACCGAACACACTCAGACACACAATCCTCAGCACAAAGAGATTTATTACCCCACAGGTCAAGCATGGCGTTGGGAGCCTGTCTCTGGATCAGGCAAAGGCAGACAGCAAGCAGCAGGCTTTTTTCAGCAGTGGGTTTTTAAGTAGAAAGATTTTGTCTGTGCTAGGGTGAGTTGTTGAGATCTGATTGGATCAGTTAGCCAGTGTAGCCAAGTAATGACTTTTGATTGTTGGACTTTGGTATTTAGTTTCAAGAATGAGTCAGTGTCCACTAAAGGGAATGGACTTTGGGGACTAAATTTAGGAATGTAATCTAATGGTTTATCAAGGGAGAGGGAAGTGAAAAGGGAAAAACCTGCCACTGCTAAGTTTGGGCCCCTTAGAGAGCACTTCACACACATAAACCCACACACAGGATGTCAGAGAAATGCAGGTAAGTGGCATTGTCTCATAGTATAAGGAACAAGCTGAGAGGAGAGGAGATGAACTCCAGGCCTTCCGGTGACACACAGATGGACTGAGTAGGCCCACCAGGCCATTCAAGCTGCTGCCATAGCAAAAAGCAAAAATAAATACCAATTTAGAGCACTGAGCATCTCCTAAAAGCCAATGCCTCAGGCCTTCTTGAAATGCATGTTGTGATCTTACACCCTACTGCCCCTCTCTGTAGATTGTGATTCAGGCCACAAGCTCTGGTTTTCATTGGGAGGATTCAGAACGGACTATGTCCTATCTCAATCATACAGGCTTCAGTTCTGCCTCTCAGATGCACTCAGGACACAGTAGGTTCAAGACAGTCACCAGAGAAAAGGGCATGTTGAGTACCTGTTGTTCAACTCATTGTTGTTATAAAGGGCCAGGAGTTCCAGCAGTTCAATCCTCTCATTGGTCATCATCTGTAGCTGAAGGGTCAGTTTATCCACCTGGTTCAGCTGTTGCTCCTGCTCAGTGAGGAAGAAGGGTGTGGATGATGCCTTCCTAGTAGTCCCTGTAGGTACATAAACACAAGTGAATTTGTCCAGATGAATGGCATAGGGCCAAGAGAGATCATGTGGAGTCCCAAGAGGAGTCCTGAGGAAGAGGAAATGCATGCCACCCAGTGAAGCCCTCAAAAATCCGAGCAGATATCCTTAAACTGGGGACCATAAGCCATGTGTCTATCTCCAATCTCTAGGGATAGATATATGCCTCAGGCCCTACTTCAGCCCCACTGTCCCTGAAAGGCATAAGCAAGGCCAGTCATGTTGGTTTGGAATTCTCACCAGATACCTTATGTGATGCAAGAAAGTTCTGGACTGCCTGGTGCTTCGCATCTCTCAACCCTGATAATCTGTGTGCAGGACTAAAAGCAACTGAACATCTCAGACCTGGGTACATGGATGGAAAGTTTCCCTTCCTGGTATTTATATCAGATATCCATGAAATCTACAGAATTCCACTGAGAATAAAGTGCAGCAACATCCTACCCTGATACCTCATTAGTGGTTCTGGGCCTCCTTTAGCATTCTTTGCCAATCATAATGAACTGGAAAAGGTCCCAGCACAGCAGCTGCATCCCTGATATTTCCTGGCCCTCTGCCCTCAGAAATCCTCTGCTTTGGATCTGCTCTTTAGCAACCCAGGTAAGCTGCATAGGGCCATTGCTTCAGATGTTCACAGCTACTGCACCCCATTAAGAGAAGGACCAATTGTGGCATCAACTCCTGATTAGAAAACCAGTGCTTTCTATGCGAATCAGTGTGCTCAGTTTTGCCAACATGTCAATTGGTGAACCCTGTGGGCTCTTAATAAATGCCTCAAGGGCAGTTGGCATTGCCACAACACTGGTGATTTCACAGAAGATGCCAATGACTCTCCAGGATACAATAGAATTTCCAGAGAAGGGACTCTTAGGGTCACTGCTAATGTCATCACCTATCTGATAACAAACTCTTCCCCAATTCACCAAAAGCCAAGCTCCTCTTTCCAGCAGCCTTCTCTGAGACAGAGCAGGGCCTTCAGCACCTCGTCATTTCAATCCAGGGATCTCAATGATTCATTAGAATCTAGTTCATTCTAATTCAATAGTTCATTATGTATGGAGGGCAAGACTCAATTTCCAAACACTGACCAGGAATGGCTCTTCTCATCCTGAAGAATGCTAACTAATAAGATGAGAAATAAAGGATACTAAGAAATTAGCTCAGGATAATAAGGAAGGAATATCAGTTCCTCAAGGTGAACAAGCACATTAGAGAAATCCACGGGGCTGTTACAATGTATGGGGGTGGTGAAGGATTATGTGGGTCCTCTCAGAACAATGATAAGTCATATAGGTAATGATGAAACTTTTGCCAAAAGCTTCAGCAGAATACATTCTAACCATCATGATGTTAGCAAAGGAGTTATCAATTATTGAAAGGTATGACTGAAAATACCTAATAACTGGGCATCCAGAGGTGAGCCCTCTGACACCAAGTACAAATACTTACAGGAAGAGTGATGTCCCAGTTTGCACTCAAGGTAGAGGGAAGATGACTGGCGAGTGAGAGGAAAGGAACTCAGAAACCTTAGGGGTCACTGACATGCAGCAATACTTGGTGGCTCCTGACCTGATAGTGGGTTGTTATTTAAACTGTGAGAACCTCTAGCTCTGGCCAGAGGACTTTACTCTCCTTGTTATTAGTGACACACACCAAAAGACATCCAGTGTGGGTGAAGTGCATGGCTGGTACTGAAACCTCTTTAGTCCCTCTGTGCTTCCTTCCCACCCAGAGTGAAAGCAGAGGGCCCTCAACAGAACAACTGCAGCCTTGACCATCCCTGGCTCTTTGCCAAACTAACCTTGAAAAATCCATAACTTTGTTCTGCTCCTGAAGAACTCAGAGGACTAGGATAGGCCCATGGCTTCTCAGAAACTCTCACCCCCTTAGCCCCACTTCTAGAAGGATCAGCTGAAGCCTTCCTCCTTTAGGAAGTTCCCTATCCCTTTCCCAGGACTCACTGCGCTTTTCCCAGAACCATTTATTTCTTGATGTGTGACATGGAGACTGAAGGGCATCTTCCTTCTGCCTCCCTTTGGTCTCCCTGTGCTCGCCATCCTGTCTTCCAAGAATCCTGTTCAGTCTAGTCAGCATGTCTGTAGGTGAAATGTGAGACACTGCACAAATGCCCCAATGACAGTTGGTGTTGCCACAACACTGGTGACATCACATGGAATGCCAGGGCTCTCCAGGATACAGTAGAATGTCCATGTACTGATGTCACATGGTATAGCTGTTACATCCCTGTCTCATACCTCACCCAAAAGTGACTTGAAACCAAGGTGCCATTTTCAGGAGCCTCTGGGTTCACAATGGAAGCCATTAGTTATAATCCTCCTTTCAAAGCCAGAAATCTAGGCCTCTGCTTCATTAGAAACTTTATCTAAGTGAAGTTGAAAGCTCACTTTGCATGTACTGTCCAGGGTTGAATTTTCCCTCCTTAAGATTCATAATCAATAATTTGAGAAAGAAAGGATGCTTAGAAATTAGGTCAGGACAATGAGGAGTAGTAGTGATGAGACCTGTGAAGTGAGCAATCACCCAGGGAAGATCCTCAGTCTTGTAGAGATTGGTGGGCTCAAAGAAAAGTCACATTGTTAGTTATGAAGATTTCACCAGAGTGTCAGTAGAGCTAACTCAAGCTATGAGTTTATGAGTGAAGATGTGACTAGCTCTGGACAGGTCTGGTTGGAGCCACTAAGACCAGGTGAGCTCTCAGATATTGAAAGCAAGCAATTCATGGAAAGAGTAGGATGACCCAATCCTTGAAATCATTGACTGAGGAAAATGTAGTGGCAAGTCAGAGTTCAGTGTTGGCTATGGAGAGGCATCATGAAGGAGACAACAACACACACACACACACACACACACACACACACACACACACACACACACACACCAGGCATACATTCATGGAGTAGAACATGATGTAGATCACTGCTGTGGTGCTTCAACCAGTAAACAAAGCCAAACGCCTAGTTTTGGCGCCACCTGTTCCAATCCACATGCTCTTGAAGAGGTGGCACTGCTAGCTTTGGGTACAAGATCCATTAGGAGGACATGAGAAGGGCAGGCAAGGGGAGAGAATCAAGAGTTGTTGCATCATACAGCTTTGTTATAGCCAAACCTCACATTTCTTATCATGACATCGCTATAAAGAGAAGCCAGGTCATGGTCAGCATGGAGTGCATGTTCTCCAACCAAATCTCTGGATTTTGTCCACCAAAGCGTTATCCTTGCGTCCTAGGACTTATGAAACTTTTGGGTGATCTGTGTCATTTCAGATTTTGAAGCTTTAAGCAAATAAATGTGATTGTCAACTTTATTTCTAAATAGAGTCTTGTGAAGCCCAAAAAGTTGAGTACATCCTGGAATTTGGGAGCAAGGCATGTCCACTAAACTGATATAAAAACTATTTTAATAACATAGATGACAGTATTGGGGGTAAAGAAATGTGAGTAGAGAGGTGGTATAGAGAAAGGGGTGAGATATTCCGAGAGTGTGATTTCTCACATGAATCCAGAGATGAGGCAGTAGATCTAGATGGAAAAGGATAAAGGATTGCCTGCAAATCCCAGTAATTAGAAAGAGGCCTGGAGTCAGCTGTATAGTTGAGACCTCAGACAGCTTGGTCTTTCTAACAATCAATTGTGAAATATCACACTTCCATGAACAGATACCCTGCCCAGGATATATAGTTATTTACCCAGCAAAGACAGAAATCCATTCTGCATGGTCCTGCTTCTTATCTCACTGATATTCCATCCAGAGGAGGGTTCATGTTCTTCCAAATGCCCTGAGATCAAGCTGACAGGGGACGGCACCTGACTTTTACAATGTTCATCTCAGCCCACTCTTGGTAGTTGGATCATGTTCAGGAAATGAACTGGGAGATAAGACTTTGCCTAGCCGCTTCTCAAAGTTCAGGCTTGAGACTCCCCCTCTGTGCATGTCAACTTTCCTGTCTTCTACAGGGAGGGGAGTGTCTCAGGTGTCTGCTGGTTTCTTCTCCTCTTCACATGGTTCAGGTTACCCAAGGGACAGCCTCCTCAACCTTACTCAGAGCTGCACAAGACAAAGCCTGGCTTCAGACTCCCCAAATCTGGCCTCAGCAGCCATGAGAATGGTGGCACAGTTCACATGACTTTTTTGAGACACAGGCTCTCCTGGAACTTGCACTGCAGTCAGTCTTCCATTCTCCTCCTCATTTCCCAATTGGTTGAGATCATGGCATGCATCACTATGCCCAGCTCCTTTTTTTCTATTTCTAAATGTTTGAACATCCAGAAGCAACCAGAGTGAGGTCAAGATCATGATGGGGAAAACCGCAGAGATAGCCTACCTAAGCTGGAATCTCTTGGACTCTGGCAGGAACAAGCACAGGACCAAACTAGGTCCTCTGACTGTGGGTGACAGTCTGGGTGATGACCTGCATCTTCAAGTGACCATGTTCAGGACTGACTGTGAACATACCTATCTGTCCTGAACCAGACAGCTGGAAGAGGCAGCCTGCTGGTGGAAGACACAGCCTACTAAGCCTTTGTCTCAGTATAGAAAATAAAAAGGAAGCCAGAAGTTGGCTTTTTGTATTACTTATCAGTTCCTCTTTATCTGTCTGCCTCTCAGGGAAGACTGTGTAATTCTTTTTCCCTCAAATTAATGAGTTTATTGAAGTTATTACAGGAGTATAGGTATGGTATTACTTATAGGAATATGAATAAATCTAATGTGTGGCATCACAAAGGCTCACATTAGAATGGGTGACCCATGAAGACTAGAACTCTGAATGTGTCTGCATGACTTGTTTGCAGCTGAATGAGACAGAGGGTCTCATTTCCTCAGTTCTCCTTAGTTACACCTATTTAACCTTGGGAGCAGAAGGGCCTTGTTAATCCTGTAAATTTCAGCTTTCCCAGCCATGGTTTAATTGCTGAGTATTATGAACCTCCTCTCTCTTTCCACAGAACTTTCTGAGACTTAAGGAAATAGTCCTACTCAGGGAAGAGCACACCAGTTGGATACTCAATATTAAATGATCAGTCCTGAAAACATATATGCTAGCTATACAGAATGATTGGTTTACATTTAGGAATATATAACTATATGGATACACACACACACACACACATATATATCTTCATGCTCATATATATGTATATGAACATAGGAACAATTAATGAATATAGAGGTCATAAATTAGAAACAGAGCAAGGAGGAGTGTAGTGAGGGTTTGGAAGGATGAAAAAGAAGAGAAAATAATGTAATTATTATCTCAAAAATAATAGAAGAGTATTTCATGTTATCAAAAGGAAAATTGTTACACAACATTTCACCCATTCCTTAAAATGTTAGTTGTTTGTATAAGTTCACATTCTCCCATGGAGCTCTGCAAAGGCACTAAAGGCAAACACAAGTCCTGAAGTCCCTGGTGAATCAACCATTTTATGTTTGACCTCTTCTGTAAGCACAGCCCAGTGCTCTATCATGCCCAGTGAATTGGCCGCAAAGCACTGCTTCTCTCATATATATTTTATCAGGAAAACCCCATCCTTCCTTCATCATCTTCCAGTGTGTGTGAGACCTCTGCTTGTGATAACCAAGCATCCCCAACGCTTCCTGTGAGCCAGTCCATCAGGAAATAATTTCTCTCAGATTTCATTAGATTACATAGCCTGTATTTCAAGGAGGTTTTTGTAAGTGGCTCACCTACTTTCCTACTTCTATTGCACTCAGATTGATCTCATCTGTTCTCATAGCCTACAATCCCATGAGCAAAGCTTTGACAGGAGGTTTCATTGATCTTTGAAAGTCTTTTGTATCAAGTAGTTGAGAGACAGAATACTCCCTGACTGAGACAGGCTCTTTTCGCAGGCCATTTTAAGGCTATCAAATGCAAGTTCTAGCATGGATTTTCCTTTTCTCTGTATAAAAGGTTGAAACTAAGTGGCATCTTCTATCACTTTTGTTTTAAACAGAGAATTAAACTCTAATTGTATACAAGTGTAATGAATTTTGTCCTAAGGAATTTTAATAAATACAGCAGTTTCATATATGATCTTGATTTTTTTCTCTTCCGTAAAATTTCTGACTTATGACTTTTCTGGGTTTGAGTACAACTTTCCATTTCCATTTAGAAAACTCTACAGATTTTACCTCTTGACAAGAATTTATTTAGTCAGAAAACATTTTTGTAAACTTCATGATAGAGAACTAATAAACACTGAATATTTCAACTCATTGAATTCATTGTATGTAAATTACATTTGTCATATAAAGAAACAAACTAAGATGATGCGTTTGCAAGTTATTAAAGTATCAAGTTGTTGGATGTAGGTTTTGGGCTCATTTTAAGTACAACTTGCATTTTTTTAACAAGCACTCCTTTAAACAATATTTTTAGTGTCACAGTGTCAGAGATCTAAGGAACCTCATATTTTAGCAAGTACTAGGATGGATAAGGATTATTAAGATTTTGGGTGGGAAAATATGGAGAATAAAGCCTACAGAGAAAAGTTTTTTTTAATTTTTTATGATGTAATTAGCATTTTCCAAAGCCCTGTAAAAATTCAGGGAGGCAAATATGGTTATAATATTCGGGATGAATAAGGGAAGATCAAGAAGAAGGAGAAATAAAAGAGGAAGAGTAGTTGTAGGAGAAGATGGATGGATGAATGGATGGATGGATAGAGATAGGTGATGAAATGGATAGATAGATAGATAGATAGATAGATAGATAGATAGATAGATAGATAGATAGACAGATAGATAGATAGATAGATAGGCAGAGAGACAGACAGAGAGACAGAAACACAGAGAGACAGGAGTATATACATTTTTCAGGCTATACACTGTAGTGATTATTGGGTTCACCAAAGGCAGGATGGACTCAGAACATTTGTCCTTCTTCCCCATATTGGTCAGAGAACTAGGTATGGTTAAAGAACTCACAATTTTTCTTTTAGTATCTGTACCCTTTAATTCTGGACAATTCTAGGATTTGTAGTTCCCAAAAATAGCCCTCAAATTTCGTTCCATTCCAGTTGTCTCTCAGTGGTCCCACTTTTTCTTTGTGTTGATATGTGAGGTAAGGTGGGACAAATACTAGTTATCCAGGGGTCCCTGGCATTCTAGGCCCCCAAGAATCTTTCTAAATGAATGCTCCAGGGTTTGTATAGAACTCTAGAAAAGGAATAAGGAATCCTTGTTGCAGCAGATGATACAGAGAGGTTGAGACAAAACAGATTGTGTTCTAGCATGGGTTCTAGCATGGATTATTATAATGGAGAGGCAAGAGTTTCTGATCCAGAAATATTAACAGGCTAGATATTCTGAAGATTACATTTAGATCCCTTTTTTCTCAGAGTGAGGACCAAGCCCAAAGCCTTGTGCTTGCTAGGCAAGCACTCCACCACTGAGCTAAATCCCCATTGCCAAATTTTTAAGGATTTATTTTAGAGAAAAGTCAGAAGGAAATGGAGGATTTAAGACTACCAATTTCTGATGCCATCTCACAGATTTTCCAGAATGTGATGGGCTGATCGTGTTTGCCTTTGGGGATGTTATTTTTATAAAGACAGCAAACTTAGTAGGGGGTTTCTAGCATTGAGCTCAGCAGCACAAGGACACCCCAGTAAATAACTAGTCTGGAATCCTTTAAGTAAAGAGGAGATGCAGCAAGCTGATGAAATGAAATGTAGAAGTGCCTGCAGGTGAAAGGTCGGGATGAGATGGGTCACTCCAGAATGTAAATGAAGAAAAGTCAGAATAAGGAAAATTAAATATAGGAGGAAGTCTGACAATGTGTGGGAAAATTCTTTATTTGCTAATGCTTTGGTGATTGGTATTACACATCATCCTCAGAGTATAAAAATAATACAATGGGGATCCTTCTTTGAGAAAACATGTCCACATTTGATATGATATTGTATATTAAGTTCAAATCTCTGAAATCTTGTAAGAAAAAATGGAACATCATGGACCATGTTTCTGGAAAAAGAAATAGAGAAGAATTACTGAAGCAGATTTTGGTTGGAAATATGTTAAACATATATATGTACCTGTACATGCATATACATACAAAATCATGAGAAACAAAATCAGTAAAACAATCCAGACAGGAGTCCAATGGGGTCTGAATATTGATAAACACAAGTATCTTGATGCCTACACTATCCACTTAATTCAAAATTCAGGCTGTCGACAAGGACAATGCTGTTCTGATGAGGATAACATCAGGGCTCCCTTTCTGGCCTTAATCATTGGGCTGTATTTGGCAGAATTCAGCATTGGAGTGAACACACTGTTTACATCACCAAACCTACTGTAATTCTCTATGTTAATGTGTAAGAGAAGATCTGAGGTAAACTGACAGTCATGTCCCAAATATCAGGCAGACCAGCTTTCAAGCACCAAATGCAAATCATGGTTATCTGAAATATCAAAAGTATGAATATAGCCTCAGTGCAGTTTCCAGTGATCTTTTGTCACCATCAGCTTCTGGGTCTGTGTTTTGGAAAGTATGTAGACAAAAGAAATTACCTCAATAATTTTCACCTATAAAAAGCAACAGTCAGATTCATGATACAGTACTGGCTTGATTCATTTAATTATAACTCACATGGGAATATAATCAGTCAAATAAGAACACTAACATTTTCTTCAGAAATCCTCCCAACACATAATCATATTTTATATAAAACTTGATATCTCTGAAATGTTTGTAGCATATTACAACACTTGAAATAAAATAGTATCTTCTGGGCAGGACAGGACTACTGCACTCATGAACTCCAAGGTCAAGCCAACAACATTCTAGTATGGAAGAGAAAGGGGCTCACTGGCCCAAACCCCTAACTGAGAAGCTGGTGGCAGTGGGTGGCTTTTGGAGGAGGAAGAGTCAGTTTACTTTGGGTGCTGATGCCAGGTAGTTTGAGCAAACTCAGTGATGGCTCTAACACATGAGCATATGGGCATGCAGTGCTGCCCTACGTAGATAATTTAAAACAAAACAAAAGGCATGGATTTAGTAATGTTGGGATTAGCAGAGTGGATCAGGAACCATTTGAGAGGAATAAGGGGTAATATGAGCAAAATACACTGTATGCATAGATGAAATTCTCAAAGAATTTTAAAAGTGTATTATTTAAAAGTTTGCAGTTCAATAGCATTAAAAATCTGATACAAACTTTTTTCTTTTTTATTTTATAATTTAATTTAATGTTACATATCAGATACAGATTCCCCTGTCCTCCCTCCCCCCCCCCCCCCCGCACCCTCCCTCCAATTCACCCCCCATTCCCATCTCCTCCAGGGCAAGGACTCCCCTGGGGATTCAGCTCAGCCTGGTAGATTCAGTCAAGAAAGGTTCAGTCCCCTCCTCCCTTCACCCAGGCTAAGCAAAGTGTCCCAGCATAGGCCCCAGGCTCCAAAAAAGCCAGTTCATGCACTAAGGACAGGTCCAGATCTCACTGCCTGGATGCCTCCGAAACAGTTCAAGCTAATCGACTGTCTCACTTGTCCAGAGGGCCTGATCCAGTTGGGGTCTCCTCAACTATTGGTTCATAGTTCAGGTGTTTCCCCTAGTTTAGCTATTTGTCCCTGTGTTTTTTCCAACCATGATCTCTACATCTCTCACTCATACAATCCCTCCTCTTTCTCGCTGATTGGACTCCCAGAGCTCCACCTGGGGTTTGGCCCTGGATCTCTGCATCTGCTTCCATCAGTCATTGGATGAGAGTTCTACCATTACAAGTAGGGTGTTTGGCCATCCAATCACCAGAGTCGGTCAGTTCGGGCTTTCTCTCAACCATTGCCAGTAGTCTGTTGTGGAGGTATCTTTGTGGATTTCTGGGGACCATCCTAGCACTTTGCTTCTTCCTATTCCCATGGGGTCTTCATTTGTCATGGTCTCTCTTTCCTTGTTCTGCCTCTCTGTTCTTGATCCAGCTGGGATCTCCCACTCCTCTACACTTTCTTTCCCTGATCCTTGCCCTTCATTACCGCCCCACGTCCACTTTGCTTATGTATATCATCCATTTCTCTGTCATTGGGTGATCCCTGTGTCTTTCTTATGGTCCTCCTTACTAGGTAGCCTCCCTGGAGTTGTGAGTAGCAGTCTAGTCATCCTTTGCTTTACATCTAATATCCACTTATAAGTTAGTACATACCATGTTTGTCTTTCTGAGTCTGGGTTACCTCACTCAGGATGTTTTTTTCTAGATCCATCCATTTGCCTGCAAACCACATAATGTCATTGTTTTTCTCTGCTGAGTAGTGCTCCATTGTGTATATGTACCACATTTTATTTATCCATTCTTCAGTTGAAGGTCATCTAGGTTGTTTCTAGGTTCTGACTTCCACAAATAATGCTGTTATGAACATAGCTGAGCATTTGCCCATGTGGTATGATTGAACATTGCTTGGGAATATGCCCAAGAGTGGTATAGCTGGGTCTTGGGGGAGATTGATTCCCAATTTTCTAAGAAAGCTCCATATTCATTTCCAAAGAGGCTATACAAGCTTGCATTCCCACCAACAGTGGAGGAGAGTTCCCCTTGCTCCACATCCTCTCCAGCGTAAGCTGTCTTCAGTGTTTTTGTTCTTAGCCTTTCTGACAGGTGTAAGGTGGTATCTCAGAGTTGTTTTGATTTGCATTTCCCTGATGATTAGGGATGTTGAGCAATTCCTTAAATGTCTTTCAGCCATTTGACCTTCCTCTGTTGAGAATTCTCTGTTTAGCTCTATAGCCCATTTCTTAATTGAACTGTTGGGCATTTTGATGTCTAATTTCTTGAGTTCTTTATATATTCTAGATATCAGCCCTCTGTCAGATGTGGGGTTGGTGAAGAACTTTATCGATTCTGTAGGCTCTCACTTGTCTTGTTGACCATGTGCTTTGCTCTACAAAAGCTTCTCAGTTTCAAGAGGTCCCATTGATTAATTGTTTCTCTTGGTTTATGTGCTACTGGTGTTATATTTAGGAAGTGATCTCCTGTGCCAATGCATTCAAAACTACTTCCTACTTTCTCTTCTATCAGATTCAGAGTAACTGGATTT